TTTAAGTGGGTCAAGGTAGATAATTGCCGGACAATAGTACTTTTTTTATGCCTCTCAAATTCAAAAAAAAAAAGACATCCAAAAGTTAGACAAAGTTAAATTGCTCACAGAAGCCAAATGAAGAACAGGGTCATTCATTTCTCCAAAGATAACAGCATTGCAATCATTCTATAGGAAGACATTCTGCCAAACTGAGTGCTCCACGTAAGAGCCACAGCCATTTTACTATCCATTAGGGAAAAGCTACTGCACCCAATATCCACTTATAGAAATTTTACCATACACCAGAGACCACCTTCAAACCTCCCTGCTAAGAGGAGTTGCATTGTCCCAAAAGATAATCGATCAACTCTTGCTCAGAAGTTGTCAAGTATATCTTTCTAGCAACTCCTTAGGGGATCTTAAGCATAGAGAAAAAGTAAAGGTAAAGCAAAAACACAAGCCTGAAATCTGAATGTTATTTCAAGATGTAAACGGATCTGGATTGACTCTTAGGCACTTCTAGATGTAGTTAAATGTCAGCTTAAATAGAGGATTTCACCGTGGGAATAAGGGTGATAATCTACCACAACCCTTTTGACATAATCATGTCCTTCATACAGGGTCGCAACTCAAAAAGATGTAAAGAACAGTTGAGACAAAAAGGAACCCTATATTATGCTACGCCAAGAATATGTGGGAGCATCCGCAATTTGGAAGTAAGGGGTGTATGTTATAGTCCATAATCCCTGGCATATGCTCCATATTACTCAAAGTCATCCTAATTAAAACACAGCCACAAGGGTGTTTGTTTCCCATCAAAACAAAAAAAGGCCAAAAAGGTACTTGTGTTAGAATAAGTGATATTGTTAAAGTGAACAGTATCCATTGTACAACAACTATAACATATCAAAGCACAGAGGAAAGCACAAAGAAACAGCCAACCTCCGAAGTTCTGGCCATGGGTCATTAAGACGTAGATCATCTAAAAAATGGTCAGGCTTTGATTCAATTACTGTATGTTCCTGCAGATAGAAGAGAACAAATGATTAACATAAATGATATCACACTTGATAAGAGCTCTGTCAAACAAACAAATTGTAACTTCCTTGTTCGTTCATTGTTTCACTCTATTCCTATGGCTTCATGGTTTTCTCTTTTTGCAACAGTAGTTCCTTGTATTACAATGAAATAGATCCTCACATTATCCATGTTAACGTAGTCACTGGTGTGGACCCACGAGTTCTCTATCAATACAGATTTCACAGTTAACAGCTAAGCAGCAATAAGATTACCTTCACACTGATCCTAACAAGACCCATGAGGCCATATGATCGTGCAAATATTAGAATAATATTTGCCTCCCGACAGATACGATCCAATTTCACCATAGAATCTTCAACCAACTGATAAAGAACCGAAAAGGCATAAGATAAAATTGTCAGAAATTCCAATGCACTACTAACTGCTGATAGACAATTAGCCATATTATGCAATTTAAATGATCGGTTGAGTTGGATGACAAAGGAAACAGATTGTTCTTTTGCTTGAACCTTTATGTATTCTATTCCTTATTATTTTATTTTTCAAAAAATATCTTTTATTTATTTATTTTGGGGGGTGGGGGTCTAGCCTTGCTTCCCAAATTAAAGAGTGGATAAGCTGCTGCTCATAATTATGCAGATAGCAAAGCTAATTGTTTGCTCTTTCAAATCAACATGGCCCTACATCTGTTGAGAAGGAGATAAAAGACAAATATCATGTAGTCAACATAATTCTGAGTATTGATGGACATACTACAGGGACACTTATGAATTTACATACTACACAGTAGATAAGATGTGTTGAAATGATTGTAGCTCATAAATTGCAATTCAAGAGGCAGAGAGACTCTTCAAATTTGAGCTCTACACATAGAGACTCTTCAGTGGTTCAGTTACAATCAAGAATGAGACTGTAACTGAAGTTCTTTAAAAATAAACACCGAAAAATAATAGAATTGGCTGTGTGTATACTAATTAGACTTTCTGAGCGAATATGTATATTGGACAATGTATGTAGGACAATGACATATAGGAATCTCTCTAAATTCTTTTGTATGCATGAAAAAAATAAGACAAGAAGATGAGCATACTGTATCACTTCTTTCTTATGGAATTAAAGACAGACATTGAAGAACACTAACACATGCTATTTGCCTGATTGGCGACAATATCTAATTTGACAGTTTCATGTTGTAGAATTATCAAGAAATGTGGCATAATGTCAAGTGAACATGTCAAGAGCTTTCTTTTACCATATGCAGATAGCAGGGGTTTTATGATAACAAAAACTAAGTTAAAAAAGTGGGAATGCAGAATTATGCCAAGATCAAATTGTTTTTATGAGTACAAGATAACTTGCGTCTCCAAACCTGTGTAGCTATGACCAAGGTAAACTGAGAAAAGAATGATGGATTAGTCTCAATCAGTTCCTCGGGATGTTCTTCTATAAACTTCGCTTTAACAGCATCATTTAACTCTTGAAGAAATGCACACACGCACTCTGCCTTAGATTGTCCAACACTTGATTCATCAACTACCATAAATACAAGAGAAAAATAAGAATATGGAGAAGCCAAGGTTTTTTAAAACTGTAGATGCATATGCACAACAGCGTAACATACCCATAAAATTATTTCCAAGATCACCCACTTCAACCTTAGAACCATCAACAATAGTGATGCTTCCCACCCCACCAAGAACAAGATTTTTCAAAGTTTCAGAACCAGTTGGACCACAGTTAAGTAAGCAGATACTGGCTTTCTCCAGTGCAGCTTGTCCTTTCTCACCCCATATCCTGCAAAACAGCATCAGTATTATCTCTACCCCAACCTAGAAATTTAATTGTCAAACATGTGAATGCAGAGGAATGGTGTACTCCAAGTTGGAATCTGCATACATCCATGAATACCCATAAGTCATATGATATAAAACCCTTGTTATTGAGGCCAAATGATATTAAACTTATTTCTGTCTCTGCCTGTGTATAACTATTATTTGAAAGCTGTGAACATTTAAGTCACATATGTACTTGAAAATTCATAAGTTGATCAATTTAACTTGTGTCAAAAAGTAAAGTCTGTGACAAAGGTATCAATGTTGCATGACATATCTCATGAGGCATTCCATGATATGGCATTGCAAGAAAATTTATGATCGTCATCCAGAACCAAGAATCATCATATTTTGTAATACTAGACTAACTCGGAGATTAGGATAGGAATGATCATCCCTGATCGATTCCTGATTGGACTTTTGTAATACAAATAAAGGCAGTCACAAAGCAATACACACACTCTCTCTCTCTCCCCTCTAGTATCATGCGAAATCATGTAGTAGTTAGGGCATGTTTGGTAGGGAGGAAACACTTACCAAAATATATATTTTGATCTTCCCATGTTAGGTTGGTCAAAAATGTTTTGGAAAATATTTTTTCTGGAAAATTCCTTTAAAATGAAGAAAATGACTTCCCTAATGAAAGTAGGAAAAAAAAAACTCCATAAATGACATTCCAAGTTCATTGTCTTCACCCCACCTACCCAACGCCTCCTCCCCGCCACCCCTATTTCCCATCTCGTGTCACTCCAATAGCGTATTGCTAGATTACATATAAATACTCTTAGGATAATATTTTTTTCCTTACTTACCAAATACTGAAAAATAAGTTTAAAAAACCATTTTTTTTCAAAGAAAGCATTTTTCTTCCTATCAAACACACCCTTAGCACATTAAAACAGCAGTCTTGCCTTTCCACTAACAATTCATCTCATACCTTATTTCCACTTAAATACCAAACTTTTTCACCACTCAAAACATAAAAAGATCAAAACTTTTTCCGCAAAAACACAACTTTACACACTATTAAAATAAAAAAAGACCCTAAATATACCCAACCTCAACTAACTTAGAACTTACTAGCATTCAATAGATATTTCATCAATATATTTTCCCACAACCGTAGCATATCACATAAAAAAGATGCTTTTTTTTCTCATTTCTTCTACTAAAATTTTCAATTCAATCCAACTATATAAGAACTACACATTCAGTGATGGCGTTCATAACAGAACTGAAAGCAGAAAACATAGAATACACTAAAAAATTCACCTGAGCTGACGATCATATTTGACTTTAGGTTCCGCCATTGTTGTATGTATGAGAAAAAATTCAGCTTGCTTTATACGCTGGAGGAGAGTGAAATAATACAGAGAGAGTGAAGAAGAAAGAAAATTTCCAATTGGAATTTCTTTGACATAGTGATGGACCCGGGTCAGTTCAATTTGGGCCTCGTGGGCCTTGACCCGACTTAACTAAAATACGAAACATTCCTAAAAACCTAATGAGAGATCGAATTCAAACATATCCAAAATTCACAAAAATTATATAAACGTTAACGAAATATAGTAAAATCCATCATGTCACAACTCATATAGATAAAAGAAAAAGATTTTTATATCACAACTTAGATAAGATCTAAAGGATAGTCTCTCTAGAATCATTATCTACATTTAAGATATATATAAATATATTTTATAATTTATATTTTGATTTATATCTATAAATCAAAGCTATAGAAAAATATTTAATTTCATTTAAGCTTAGACATATTATAAATTGTCATGCATTGCGATATCAAATGTAATAAAATATCATATCTAAATCTATTAATCTTTTGTCCTAATTTTCATTCATTAATCTCTTCGATTAATTTATTAATAAAATAACTTACTATATTTCAATATTAGATAGAATACGTTTGATGTCAAGTCAATAAAGCACCATACATTGTACCAATGTGTCAATTTAGTTATCCTTATCAAATTACTTACGTAATAATATCTAAGACTTCCAAATCGATAAACTAAAAAAAAAAGACACAAATATCTATGTTAATATACATGTATATTATATTATATCGTGTATAATCACCTCTTCGCATAATCTTTTTGAACTCCATCACAAAATCATTAATAAAAAACACAGTTTCATTCATCAAAATTCTAAAGTATATTCTGTCCTTTACTCTGTTTTTTTTCTTCTCAAAATCATAGTCATCATCTTCATCTTCATTTCTTCCATTATTGTTACAGCAAAAAATACTCTGTTTTCTTCTTCAATAATTACAGATACACAACTCTTAGCCGCCTCCACACGCCCTACCCCCCCACCCCCACCCCACCAAATACCCATTAGCCCCACCCACCTACCCATTTCGTCTACCAAATTATTGTATACTATATATATAGGCTTATAGAGTAATGTACGTTTCTTCTTCTGTTCACATCAAACCAAATTTTTTCACTTCTTTTCCGGTATCTAAATCTCTTTCTAAATCCACTGGTGCTTATTGCTCTAGTGGGTATTCTTCTTTGAGTTTCTCTTCCACTTTCCGATCGCTGAGGTGGAGATACGGTGTTGATTGGAAATCTCCGATCAGTCTTACATCTCAGATCAGAACTGCCGCCGTTACCCCTGTTCTCAACAATTTCCGTCGAAAACTCACTACCATGGGTAATTCCGTCATTTCACTGTCACTGTCACTGTTTTTCATTGGATTTGTAAAACCCAAAAAAAAAAAACTTTCTTTGGGTTTGCTGTAAAAGTTACATTTTTTTTTTCAGATTTATATTAATGTTGTTTGTGATTTGTGAAGCGTTGGTTGAGAAGGTTTTATTGAAAAAAAATTAATTGGATTGTTGCTATATGTGAATATGAGGTATTTGATGTTAAGGTTTATGTAGTGGATCGGTGTGATCTACTTTGTTCGGACTCTTAAAAATGTCAATGAATGAGTATCAGATTCTCAAAAAGACATTATTTTTGGAGAATATGACACACATGCAGAATCGAAAGTGAAGAGTTTGTAACTTAGCTTGTGATATTAATGATATAGAAAAGTGTGGTGTAAAAAGCTAGGATTTGTAGAATGGAATCATGGATCCACCAAAAGCTAGAAATAGTTAAGCTTTTTTGGCTTTTATTAAAACAGAGAAAAGTGGACCGGATGATATCTTTTTTTATTTTAAGTACTTTTCAATGAGACTAAGGAAGGTGGAAAATTGAATGACAGATGTTGATATTGACCCAAGATATTTATTCTTTAGACATTTGTATTTTTTGTTTGGTATTTCTTTAAATGGTTTATATTGTTTCTGATAACTTTCAAGAGCTGCTGTCAGTGAGTGACTTGTTAGACACTTGATTCCAAAAGAAAATCAAGAATCTGATACTGTTTGTTAATGGATTCAGCTTCAGGGAACCCATTTAAGGGAATCCTCACCAGTCTTCCCAAGCCTGGAGGTGGTGAATTTGGGAAATACTATAGCCTACCTGCTCTGAATGATCCCCGAATTGGTAATTTCATCTGACCTTTGATATTTGTTATATAAACTACTACTCTCTTTTCATTTGTGTTGTGAATAAATGACTTGCTCCACTGCTTTAATTTGTTGATCTGTATATTGTCACTTAGAATATCATGCTTCTTATTCGAGAATTATGGCAAGTTCTTCTGCATGTTGTCTAGGCTTGGTGTTAGACCCCTTCCAAAGTCCTCTCTCTTCAGGGGAATTTCAGTAGTTCAGTTTATTGGCTGCCAAAAACTTTCACCTTGTTGGTGAGGGTTCTATTTCCACCTTGTAATTCCCTCCACCCTACCACTATGTTTAGTTAAACAAAGTCCTCTTTTTTTCCCATCTCTTATTTTCCTTTTGAGGTTGAAATTAACGTTTTTTGAATTTTGCATTGTTGAATTGCTTATCACAGTTTTCTGTCATCTTATTAAGTTTAATTTCCAATTTTTTGACTTCTCGTTGATTTCATCATTGTAACAGACAAGCTGCCATATTCTATCAGAATTCTTCTTGAATCAGCAATCCGTAATTGTGACAACTTTCAAGTCAAAAAGGAAGATGTTGAGAAGATCATCGACTGGGAAAATACTTCTCCGAAGCTAGCGGAGATACCGTTTAAACCAGCCCGAGTTTTGCTGCAAGTATGTCATGTCTCCAAATTAAAAAGAAAAACAATGCAATTCGTGATGTAACAGCTTTCATCTTTACTGTTTTTGTCAGGATTTTACTGGTGTACCAGCTGTTGTGGACCTTGCTTGCATGCGAGATGCCATGAACAAACTTGGCAGCAATGCTGACAAGATTAATCCATTGGTATTCATTTCTTTTAAGTTCAGCTGATGTTGGCAAAATTTCTTAAACTGTGTAGTAAGTCCCGTTTAATGGTAAATGTTGAAACAACTATGGTGGTGTTTCTTTCAAATTTTCGAAGAGGACTTCCAAACAATATTTTATTTTCCAAGAACTGTTTTTCGACCAAACACCAAGAAAGAGAAGCTAGTTTCTTGGTGTTTGTTTAGAATAGACTTTCTGCAAAGAAGTTGGAACTTCTCCAAAACAAGTTGTTCAATATTCTAAAGCAACAACAACTTATTAGTGCAGTCCATGGATTTTATATTTTGGATATATTATCATTGAAATGCTTCCTTTTTTATTTTGTTTGTAATGCTTATGTATCAAGGACTTAGTTATCACTAATTATTACAACTTTGAGGTCATGATATCTACTATAAAAAAAATTGAGGTCATTTTTACTGCTCTTCTATTGGTTTTCTTTATCGTGAAGATTCATCATCAGCTATTCTATTGGTCTTCGAATAGATTCTTCGACTTCACAATAGTCTTATTATCTTTTTTTTTTATTGGGTATATTTTCAGGTGCCAGTAGATCTAGTAATTGACCATTCAGTTCAGGTCGATGTGGCAAGGTCAGAAAATGCAGTCCAAGCTAATATGGAACTCGAATTCCAAAGGAACAAGGAGAGGTTCGCCTTTCTTAAGTGGGGTTCTAATGCTTTCCGCAACATGCTTGTTGTTCCACCAGGCTCTGGTATTGTGCATCAGGTATTGTACCTGAAAAATTGAAAGGAACCAGTTGTACTGTGTGCATAGTGAATGTAACATATCTGCTAGACTGTAGCTCTTTTCATGTTTCTTTTCTTTGTACTGTATTATCTTTCTTCTGTAGAGGCAATGCATTGATATTCCTGGATTTACTATCCCTATTTACCCCTCTGGGAAAAAGTAAGGATATGATATTCCGGAACTGATTAGTTTTTTGGCACCACAATTTTATTAGGTGAATCTTGAATACCTTGGAAGAGTCGTCTTCAATAGGGAAGGTTTGCTCTATCCTGATAGTGTTGTCGGAACTGATTCACACACCACTATGATTGATGGGCTTGGAGTTGCTGGCTGGGGTGTTGGAGGTATTGAAGCAGAAGCTACAATGCTTGGTCAGGTATGTAACTATTAAAACCATAAGGGATTCTGTATCATGCTGAAACTTGGAATAGTCTTCTGTGCTTTTCTCGTTCTGTGCTACAGTTAGTGATGTATTTTGATGTTAGGCTTCCTTTATGCCTCTTATCAACAGACTTCATATTACTTCTTTTAATTAAGTTTCCTTCAATGTAATCCTTGATCCAAATCTAACTTCTTTTATTTGGTCTGTGCTGAAATTTCTACATTCCTTAATCTGAAATTAATCTATTATGATATACACAAATACTGGAATTTGACAGAATGACAGTTCATCTTTCTTTGTAAAAGTGGTTAGTGAGTTCACTTAGAATTTTACATGGAATTGGACATAGTTAGCTCCATTAATATAGAGGTCCATTCGTCTCAACATGATAATTCTACATTTTCATCTCTCTTTGAAAAAAGGTGGAAAGTGAGTGCACTTGGAATTTACATGGATGTACATTCTCATTTTTTCACATGGATGTATTCAGCTCTCTTCCTGAAGTTTCGATTAGGCTTCAATGGAGGCTGATGCATTCACGTGTTTGCTTGCTTACTTCTTTTGAATCACGGCAATGTGTTCCCCTTGACTCAAAGAGAACAGAAACTCCTTGTGGCTCTACCATATTGCTTATTGTTCTTTAAATTTGTTATACAATTCTGGAAGTCCAGTTGTGTCTAACGAATTTACAGTAATTATACTAAAACATCTGAATTTATACTGAAATTTCAATGTCTTTCTTTCCAATGCTACTTTCTGGATACTTCCAGCCTATGAGCATGGTGTTGCCTGGAGTCGTTGGGTTCAAATTATCTGGGAAATTGCGCAGTGGTGTAACTGCCACTGACTTGGTCTTGACAGTCACTCAAATGCTGAGGAAGCATGGTGTTGTTGGAAAGTTTGTTGAGTTCTATGGTAAATATGGGGAAACTGGACAAATTACTTGCTATAATAATTTCAAATTGGTAAACTGGTTCACCGTGAAAAACTTGACTGTTTGTTTATCTTTTTTTAGGTGATGGAATGGGTGAACTATCGTTGGCTGACAGGGCCACCATTGCCAACATGTCTCCTGAATATGGTGCAACAATGGGTTTCTTCCCTGTAGATCATGTTACTTTGCAGTATCTGAAATTAACAGGGAGAAGTGACGAAACAGTAAGTGCTTAGACACATATAAGCATCACACATGAAGATAAGATGTACATTATTTTTGTATTTTCTAACTCCTAAAATTTTAGGTGTCAATGATCGAAGCATATCTGCGTGCAAATAATATGTTTGTCGACTATAATGAGGTTGGTCTTCCTTTCTAGCCTCAGCTGTGAGTGTCTCTTATTTAAGTATGACAATCTCTCGAAGGGAGAAATGAAAGATTTTGGCTAGATTTCGGGCCCGTTTGGATGGGCTTAATAAAAGCAGCTTTAAAAAAGTACT